ATGGAGTCTGGACCAGACAATCCAGTGATAAACAGCATGAGCATCGATCTGCGCAATTGGGAACCGATGACATGTGTCAACCAAGTCAGCGAGCCTGACCACCCAATCCCGTTAGTCGCCTCACTCACGTTTGGCATGTAACGTGAGTGAGTGAGTTTAGTTTTACGCCGCACTCGGCAATATTCCAGCTATATGGCGGCGGTCTGTAAATAATCGAGACTGGACCAGACAATCCAGTGATCAACAACACGAACATCGATCTGCGCAATTGGGAACCGATGACATGTGTCAACCAAGTCAGCAAGTCTGACCACCCGATCCCGATCCCTTACGACAAGCATGGGTTACTGAATATCAATATTCTAACCCGGACCTTCACGGGTCGCATGTAACGTAACCCGACGGCGAAGATGTCGCTCATGATATCCACCGCTGGTTTGTCTGATGTAGACTCGATCAGTTAGAGACTGCTAAAAAACCCTGGAATATTGCTTAGTGTGCCCTTTCACACATATAATGTACAATAATGTACAATGTGTTGGGTCTCTCATGTTACTTTACTTTTTACAATGAGCAAAATCGTGTTTACAGTTTACATTTAAACTAAACTTGTAACTACGCAGCAAATTAGTCGACCAATATCTTTTTACACACAGATATTCTGGTGGAGGATATGTAAAGAGTTTACCTCGCCCGCTGAATGGAAATTCGGTAAATATAGTCTGTATCCTAATTTAAACAAGCTGAAAATCAGTTTACAGTTGCTTTATTTATTTCCGGCAGAGGAAAACAGAGTCCGGCGATATTTTATATTATCTTAAAGCATGCAATTATCTATAAGAAAAGGGCCAATATCAATATTCCAATGAAGCAGCCATATGCCTTGTAATTGGGCATATCGGATTACCCAGTTTCTGTTTATCGTATAAACAGGCTCAGTCTTTCCACTAATTAGATAAGTCACGTGACTACTTAGCGCACATGCCGTCAATGAAATTTAAGCTGTAAAGCTTCTGAAGGCAGTCTATGAATTCCTGGACACATGTTGTGGATAAAGGTGTCTCATTCCTTTTCGCATCTGGTTTTATTGAAATTATTACTTTTAAATATATAATATGATAAAATAAAGTCTCCAAATTTCGTACTGAAAGTCTTCGGGGAACATTTTGTAAAAACATACTATATTGTGTATGTGAATATGTGACTTCAGGTTAACAAGGATCAACATCCACGGTTTTCAGGTTTTTTAATCATCCCTTTTTACGCCACAGCTATATACTTTCTAATCATGTGACGCGGTTCGTAAATATTCGAACCCGTGAAGGTCAAGGTTAGAATGAACCTTCAGTAACCCATGCTTGTCGTAAGAGGCGACTAACGGGATCGGGTGGTCAGGCTCGCTGACTTGGTTGACACATGTCATCGGTTTCCAGTTGCGCAGATCGATGCTCATGTTGTTGATCACTGGATTGTCTGGTCCAGACTCCATTATTTACAGACCGCCGCCATATAGCTGGAATATTGCCGAGTGCGGCGTAAAACTTAACTCACTCACTCACTCTCACTCACTCGTAAATATTCCAACCTGGCTAAGACAATCCAGTGATTGGCATTATCAGTCTACGCAGGTCATCATCATCATCATCATCCTAATAGTTGTATAGCGCCAATATCAAGCGCTAAATTGAGATATTTGTAAACTGTAAATATGTGAGTCTTGGTCAGAAAACACAATGGCTGATATTCTGATCACGGTTCCGCCAATGTTATATTTAAATACGTTAAACACCCACAGAGATCGATGAAAAACGTATTCTACATATGTGCATAATTTTAAAGTACATCCAGGATATCGCGACCGCAATCCTCGCACAACCTTCACTTTTCAGCACTTATAAACATACATGCTTAAGAAATTAACTGAGCACCCAGATGTTAAACTGAACAAGACAACCTTGATGAACCATTTCTGAGCCAAATACACGAGTAATGTTTTGTGAAAGAGTCTGGCCTTCAGTAATACTAAAACAGTTGTTGAATATTCAGTCGCGATCTGTTGATCCACGTATACACATTCAACAAGGAACTTATATATAAATGGACCTTTTTAATATGGAATACTTATTCAACAATCATTACAGGCTGGTCATATATACTGAGTCAAAAAAGAAACTTCACATTCTTTCTTCAGGGCACTATAAAAGAACAAGAGATGGTAAGATGGTTAAATTGTTATTATTTCATTGCTGAGATATGTGTGATGTACTCGATACACTGACAGTGCCATAATCAGTTCCATTAGGCTACACCGCCGTTCCAAAACATGGGTATACAGAATGTTAAGTCACAAGAATAAAAATGCGAAATTTCTCAGTTCAATATCGTGTATGGCCGCCCCGCGCATTCACCACTACCAAACACCGTCTCCTCATCGACTGCCTGATGCTTGTGAACACGTGGTTGGGGATTCTGCGCCATTGCTCTTGCAAGGCAGCAACAAGTTCCTGCAAATTCTGAGGTTGGTTCCTAAGACCACGAAGCCTTTTCCCAAGTGCATCCCAAACGTGCTCTTTTGGATTAAGGTCAGGGGACCTCGATGGCCAGTCCATGACGTTGATTCCAGCGTTTTGAAGGAAATTTCGTGTCAACATCGCGGCATGCGGCCGAGCATTATCATGCTGGAACTGTAGACCTGGGCCATGAGCATCCATGAAAGGAACGAGTTCAGGGGTGAGCACCTGGTCGCGGTAAGCAGCAGCTGTGAGGTTTCCACAGATGACCAGAAGTCGGGAACGGTTGTTCCCACAGAAAGCACCCCACACCATGCAACTTCCGCCCCCGAATCTGTCGACTTCCTGTAAACAACATTGGGCATACCGTTCACGACGTCGTCTCCAGACTCTATGCCTGCCGTCCGCGAATCTGAGGGTAAACCTGGATTCATCGCTAAAGACGACTCGATTCCAGTCTCTCTGGGTCCATCGGAGGTGACGTTGGGCCCACAGCAGACGTTGACGTTGATGAAACGGCGTCAATATTGGCCCACGATATGGACGTCGAGAATGGCGATTGGCAGCCCGCAACCGATTTCGAATGGTCTGTGAGGACAGTCGACCTCTAAACATCTCAGCCCTGGTTCGTGTAGCCGGCAGAAATCTGTCACATAGGTGACGTAGGACGATTTGACGGTCTTCTGCTCGTGACGTCACACGTGGACGACCCGACCTTGGGCGATCAGAAGTGGTGCCAGTTTGTTGTAGACGACCTCGCAATTCATACACAGTATGACGGCTGCATCCCATTGCTCTTGCGACGTCAATAACTGATCTTCCCGCTTGCAACATGCCAACGGCAAGTTCACGTTGCACATTTGACAATCGTGGCATTTCAAGTACCGTTAGAACTGTGGTTTAAAAGTATTTTTTTCAATTCTTGAGGCCAATGCAAACACGTGCATATGAAGAAAACTTCGATGCGAAGATCACATGATCGACTGCACGTGCAAAACCTGATTTGGCACTAACGTCATTTGCACGACGAATGGATGGGTTTGAGTGGGTTTTGCTAACGTTTTTCTAGAGTCGAAAGATAGGGATCCCATTTCGGATACATAGATGTATCATCAGAGAAAAATTATTCATTATTTTTCAAATTACATATCGTGAAGTTTCTTTTTTGACTCAGTAGTGTTTTTCGTAAGATCGAAAACAGTTGATGACAAAAGCTGACGCCAGAACGAATGTGAAGTTATGGTGACAGCTGCGGTGAAGTTAGTGAAGTTAGCGGTGAAGTGAAGTTAGCGGTGTTCAGCACATCATGCTTGTCGTAAGAGGCGAATAACGGGATCGTGTGGTCAGGCTCACTGATTTGAATGACATATATAATCGTATCCCAATTTCGCAGGTCGATGTTCATGCTGTTGATCACTGGATTGTTTGGTCCAGACTCGATTATTTACAGACGCCGCCATATAGCTGGAACATTGCCGAGTGCGGCATAAAACAACACAAAAGCAAAAATAGAATACTGGGACTACAACAGGCCGGATACACACGTAGTGAAGATACAGTTGGAGAGACACTGAATCCGTCCGTCATACGTGTGTCGTACAAGCTTCACCTTGATTTACATAGTTTTCTCATAATGAGAGTCTCTGGATTGTCTTGTCCAGGTTTGATTACATGTATTTACAAACCGCCGTCATTCAGCGGGAATACTACTGTGAGCAACATACCAGACTTTACTAAACTCGTGAATTTACTGTTATGTTGGAAAAATAAGGTATCCGAGAATGACATTATAATGATATTGTTTCTCTGTTTGTCGTACGATTAGACTATTATTTAGTCCCAGAAAATGGTTCTGTTTAAAACTATATATCAATAAAGAAAACAGAACAGAAACTTCAGAAAAGAACAGAAAGGCGCCCAGAAGAAGTCACAATTTCAGCTGAGGCAATCGGACTTGCCCATTCATTCCAAATTTGGCTGAACTCGTTTCTCCATTTGTTCTCTTGGGTCTGGGGGCGGTGGGGTAGCCTAATGATTAAAGCGTTCGCTCGTCACGCCGAAGACCTGGGTTCGATTCCTCACATGAGTACAATGTGTGAAGCCCATTTCTGGTGTCCCCCGCCGAGAGATTGCTGGAAATTGCTAAAAGCAGCGTAAAACCAAACTCACTCACTCACTCTCTTGGGTCTGGGCCACCGACTACACACTGGTCACATCATCGGTGTTCATTTCTGTAATATCACGTTTCGGAATCCTTCAACACTGGTAACCAAACGTGCCTGACAAATTACAGATATTCTTAAGTGGGCTAACGGTAAACAAATAGACAGCATGTAGTGAGAAACATTCCAACGCGACATAAACAGATGGGAAGAATGATGGTGTAGACCGAAATAGCCACCGGTAGATACTCCCACTTGTGAAATATACGCGACATAGACACCTAGCGCTTCCTAAAACAGGTGGCAAACGCGGTGCAAAAGATTCGTAATTATCGAAATGAACACTTTAAAATGTACATCCCAGCTGTTAGGTAAAGGTAATGGAATTACGAAACTGCACCCCATTTCAATCTGCAATACGGGATAATACCACGTGTTAAGTATTGCAAAGGGACCTCACAGAATCTTAAAATAGACACGGTTCTTGAGGAATCCCGTGCTTTCGGGCATGCGCTGTGAGGAGCCCAGCTTCCAGTGACTGGTTGGAGAGCGTGTTGAGACTAGCGAAATCACTTACTTATCACTGGTAGTGTCCTTTACACCCTTGGACATAATGGCGACAACAACGGTTCAGATACAACGCCGATCGGTTCAGGAACCTTGGGGTTTTCGACTTCAAGGGGGAAGTGATTACAGAATGGCGTTGTGTATTAAGAAGGTAGGTAAAACGTAAGGTAGTTATTTGCGGAAGGATTCTCGACTTTTCTCCCCATCCGTTGTCCCGCTATGGGCATGGCCTGGTACAAGTAGGTTGTTGCTATAACAGGTGTCCGTGTTTGGATTGTATGTCATGTTATGTAGACCACAACACCTAACACGCATAGGCATAAGGACAAAACGCGAGTGTCACTGTTTAAGAAGAGAATATTAAATATGGAAATTAGCTGATATTTTAAGGATAAAGTGAGTTCTACAACAGCAGACCCAACTCATATTGAAGGATTTGGTTCTATGTATATAATGGTTAAATTATTATCATTGTAATGAGTTGATTTTGTCAAGGAGATCTCTTCGGCGTGTTCAGTGAAGTATACATTGAACAGTGTAGGGTAAAAGAGACTTGGAGTATGGCGGGGAGAAGGGAGGGGTCTCGGAATATGATCTTTTGTTATTGACTATTGTCCACTTTCCCAAAGATGAAATGTACTAGTCGGGTGGATATGTGCGCTATATAAATATCATATAATAATCATAAAAATAATACATGCAGCATGTTTTGTATTTCTAACACTGTGACATTTTTATAAGAAATTGTGTATGGGGTACAATTTCTTATAAAAACACACACTGTCCCGTGTAAATATACAAATGCGAAGGAACACAAGTGTTAACCTTTGCTCCGTCAAATCTCGGTATTTTATCCCGAATCTACAATCAGTGTTGACAGCTACATTTCACTGATGTGAATTTCAAACCGTGAAATCTACACCTGCTATGTACAACATTCCTAGCGTTTGTGATGAGTTTGAAAAAACACACACACTGCCCCATAGCTGTCGAGCGAAATCTTCCTAGATCGTTGTCCATGATGTCAGTCACTGGATTGTCTGGTCCAGTCTCGATTATTTACAGACCGCCATCACAAATCTGGAAAACATATGAATGGGGCGTTACAGAACAGACACACAAAACGGAAACATGGACACAAAAGCGCTCCAATATCTACTTACAGTCAAAGTTTGGAGTGATTTATACCCTAGTTGCATTTGTTTCAAAGAAAAACGAAGCTGACATATGTATAACACTCCCTGAGAGTCGCTTGTCTCAAACTGTCGGTTAACCACAAGAATAAGTCATATTGCTCAACAGTATCGACCTGCCATCAGTCGATAAATGGATTGATGCTCATGATGTCAATCACTGGATTTCTGGAGCTGGATCCCTGAAGATATCATCAAACATATGCCATACCTTAATTGAAGAGTCACGTCTAGATACAATGTGTCACATCACATGCATTCTGTAGTTTAAATAGATTGAGGGCTGAGTAGGGGGTTGGGGGAGGCTGTTATGTTTAACAATGTGTTATGGGAATTACGTGACTTTACAAAACCCGGCTTCTGATTGATAAAGTCAACACTAACAATATTCATGAAGTATGTCAATTTCAATCCATCACAGTTTGTTGATGTCATATCCAATTTCACTTTCTGTCAACCACTATTTGCATTCCATTATCAAACAATCCCCAACGCGTCATCGTAACTGCACATGGAATTCCAGCAGCACTGATCCACCATCAGTTGCCATGGAAACCATCCCAAACTATCCCAAATACCAGCACATCAGCGCGATGTCTCAACGAGAAACCACGGCGTTGCCCGTCGTTATTCAACACAATTCTATTGTTATCCATTACGCACGTTTAGCCCGTGCTGCACGGGAATGTACCGCAGCATACGCGATGTTGCTGCGGCAGCGTACCTTGAACATGCGGGAGGCGATCCAAATTAGTCCCCCGTAACCCAACACTCTTTCCCGTCTGTATATGGGCGTGTGCTATATCTTCATTTCCCACCAGTTCGCCGAGAAAATAACCACTCACCGGGAGTAGCGACCGACAACGCTGCGAGATCTAGACTGGGCTCCTGACTGCCGCTTCAATGCCTTAACTGTTCGTAACCTCATTGCGCCCGCTGTGGTAGAACCAGACGAATGGAGGTGTCACAACATATCTTGCGATGTTATCAAACGGTGTTCCGATAGGGCGGGTCGGGCCTTTGGGTGCACATGGCAGCCACGTTTGGGGAAATGGCACTTAAAATACCGAGAGAGTTGACCGCATGGAAACTCTTTCAGAGATTTCCCCTGCTTTATGTAGTTCAATCTGTTCACACGCTAGTGTCATGTTCTCATCGTGACTTGTTAGTCCTGAGTCGGGAATTGTTTTATATCAATATTGGAAACAGGGGGCCCTTGTGTGGAGATTATTTGAACGGGCCTTTGCTCAAAAGACAAAGAGAACATATCAGGACACCTAACACTAATATCAATCATAATGGATAATTTTGTCATGATTTCAAAGTGCTTATTGTTCAAATTTGATTGAAAAGTAACATGTTAAAATCAGGGTTAAACTAAACCCACTCCAACTCTATTGAGAAGGCCCATTTCTGGTGTCCCCCGCCGTGATATTGCTGGAATATTGCTAAAAGCGACGTAAAACTAAACTCAGTCAGTCTATTGAGAAGGGCGGTGACGTAGCCTAAGGGTTAAAGCGTTCGTTCCCCACGCCGAAGACCCGGGTTCGATTCCCCGTGGGTACAATGTGTGAAGCCCATTTCTGATGTCCCCCGCCGTGATAGCACTGAAAGCGGCGTGAAACAATACTCACTCACTCACTCCAACGCTAGATTAACGCTAGTTTCCCCCAAAAAAGACGCACAAACATATTTTCAAATTACAGTTATAACGACCACCCACGCAATATGTTGAAAGTGTCAGCACCGACGTGAAGTTCAATCTTATCCACATATACTTGGTTGAGCCAAGGTTGCAAGAGAAAACAAAGCAGATATTGTTTGGCGAGTGATACGCTGAGCGCTCCGAGCGGCGCATTGCTGAATAGGTAACATAAACAACTTATCACGTTTTTCAAAACATGTCTAAACACGAGCAAAGAATGCGATAAATTGGTAATAAATATACAAAGATGTTACATTCTATTTTTGTCATTTCAAGAATCAACTTCAAGTCCATTAATATTCCTTGTATAGCATTGCAATAGTGCATACTGTAGAAATGTATTTAATATAATTGATAATATTGTTTCTTTGAGAAAAGAAATCCTAAACGTGACTATTTCTGTAACTATTCAAACTATTCTGCTTCTAAAGACAATAGTTTTCTTTCATAATTGCTGCAAGGACAGATTAACTGAGGCAACTTGAAAGAATCAGACTGAATACTATATTGTCGTGTATGGATGCAGAAAATGAAATCTTCTGTTTTACTTTGAATATGTGAGCGAGTGAGTTAATATTTATCGTCACACCGGCAATATTTCAGCCATATCGTGACGAGAACAATCAATTATCATAGTAAACATCAATAAATTTAGAAATTAAAAACCTGTTCATGATGAACAGTAAAATTACTAGAGTATCACAGATAAGGTAAAACTAGCATGTAATCATAAAACGATATTATTATAGAGAACAATACAATATAATAACGGGCTATGGATTACCAGCAACTGAAGGTAGATCACCATACTAGGGACCATGGGGAGTTACATTACTTTTGCTACCTGCATGCACCCTAGCTAGATTTACACCATACCTTCAGCCGCTGCCGACTGTAGGGAAATTTAGCCATATACTCTAAAATAACAAATATGCTACTATTAAAATTCAGAGAAAGAAAACTACTTTGAATGAAAAGGGACTTTCGTACCCTCTGGGGACAATTATTTTACGCTACTTCAACCCCTTCGAAGGTGCAGCTACCTACAATCATAGTTATTTATATATTCTACCAAATTAAAATCACTGACTAATGACAATACATTTCAAAATTTATCAATTAATTCAATATTTCTTTTAAAAATTCAATAATTAAACAAGGACGTAAATTAGAAAGACCCTTTAGGGATGAAACCGTGACATATCGATCTCTTGTCATGGAAAAATCAATACAGTCAAGCAGGACATGCTTGACCGTGACTTAGAATATGTCCTACTAACAAACTGACAAGTTTTCTTCCGAACATCATAGTTTCTAAACGATCACAGAGGTAATTCTGACGAATTTGGCCCCATAAGGAAGTATAATAATGTAATAAGTTTATTGTGGTATAGAATTAGAGTTAACTCCCTTACATACCAACCGTCAACAGGTCATATCCCGGCGTTTGTTGGGTGGGGGGAGAGGTTGGATAACTATCGCATGTATCATGTTTTATACAGAACGTCGGCTCCTTTGATTCGTTGACGGGGGTGAAAACCAGTAGATAGATAGTGACAAGATATCAAGCCATTACGCAGCTGTATATACTGAAGTGCTGATCAAGGGCAGGCCACACGCAGTGTGTAGGCTGATGTGAAATTACTCGGTTGATATGCTGTGAATCAAAATACTGGTGCGAGACGTATACAATTGTTACGGCAAACGTAGACAGTATCCCACATACAATGGGGACCTTACATTTGACGCCGCAGTTAGCATTCTTCCAGAAAATGACGCTGAGCACTTGGTAAGGGCTTTGCACAACACCCGAAAAACATTTCCCTGAGGAGCATTTCCCCCTAACCTTTGGACATCATGATATATGTGCACCCCCCTTCTCCAAAACCCTGGATCCGCCCCTGATGTTAGATGTGAAGAGCGAAAGGGCTTCCATACGGCTCTTCAATGGTTGTAGAGAACTGACTGACTGAGTTTAGTTTTACGCCGCTTTTAGCAATATTCCAGCAATATCACGGCGGGGGACACCAGAAATGGGCTTCACACATTGTGCCCATGTGGGGAATCGAACCCGGGTCTTCGGCGTGACGAGCCAACGCTTTAACCACCAGGCTACCCCACCACCCCTGATTGTAAAGAAGGAAATCAGTGTAATGTGCCAGTGTGATATGTTAGTGAGTGAGTATGGTTTTAAGCCGCTTTTAGCAATATACCAGCAATATTACAGCGGGGGACACCAGAAATGGGCTTCAC